CTGCACCTGTCTCCATCTTTGTCTGGCATAGCAGTCATCCTTTTTAAACACTCCTGGTGGCAGCAGGGGTTTTCCTTTCAACAGGAGCAGATGGTTTGGTGTGAGAGGTTCTGGATCACTCGCATCATCAGAAACAACAGTGATGGGTCTATCATTCAAGATAGTCTCTACTTCACAGAGAACCGTCTGCAGGCTCTCCTCATCCAACACTTGCTGCCTAACAATGGAGTATAGGACCTTTTTGATGATTCGGATTAGTCTCTCCCATGAGCCTCCATGGTGTGAGCCGAAGGGAGGATTGAAAGTCCACTTTATTCCTTCAGTTGATAGGCCTTGCTGGATCTTGCTGTGATTCAGAAGTGCAAGTGAGTCTCTCAATTCACGTTCTGCCCCCACACAGTTTGTGCCGTTATCAGAGAACATTTCTTTGACCTGACCCCTCCTGCACATAAATCTTCGAAGAGCAGTAATGCAGGAATCAGTGTCCAAGGAATGTGCCAGCTCTAAATGGACTGCTCTGCTGACAAAGCAGGTGAATAGGACTCCATACTTCTTTACCATCACTCTGCCTCTCTTCGTTTCAATAGGGCCAAAGTAATCAACCCCGACAAAGGTGAACGGAGGATGGTCTGGTAACGTGCGACTTAAACACTGACATATCTGACAAGTCAGACGCCTTTTACATGCACTGCTCAGATGGCCTTTAAGGAGACACGCATAACACATTCCATTATTCCTTAAGAATTCAACTTTATCCTTGTGCTGTTGCAACACCATCTGGTGGCAGGATTCTATAAAGTGGTCTCCTCTGCAGAAGAAGCATGGTCGACTATAGGCCATCCTTGGCTGAGTCTCCCGGTTGTCCCGGTTCTCGGATGTGCTTTCCTCACTATGCCGTGCTTTGGCTGTTGTTGGGATAATGGTACTTGCAAAGCTTTTCTTGGTTATAGGTTGTTTCTGCTCAGTTGTTCTTGTGACCCTAATAGCTGAATCCTGAATGGAGCCGAACACTGGGTCTAACAATATTCTGGCTTGCTTCTCAAGGAACTCCACAATATGATGGAATCAGGCTCGGCGTCGTGTATTCTGCTGTATCTCACATGCTTTGGTTCTCCATCGCTCCCGTAGCTTGTATGGCAGCTTGGACAAAATCAACCTTAAATTAGAGGGGGTGTCAAGCTCTGTCATGTCAGGTAAACTTCTAACTATATTACAACAGCTTCTTAAATACAATGCGTAGCTGTGGAGTTCTTTACCATCTTCCGGTTTTATAGTGTTCCAGTTTAAAGCTTTCTGAATGTAAGCATTGCTGAGGCGATACGGATCACCAAAGTGTTCATTAAGGAGGCGTCTGGCCTCTGCATATCCAGCCTGAGCATCCATATGCAAACAGCTTCGAACTAACTCTTTGGGTTGGCCAGATGTATACTGCTCGAGGAAGTAGAGCCGGTCTTGATCACTCTCAGTCCTTTGTTCAATGCGATGTTCAAATGCATTAATGAAAGGAAGGTAACTTATAAGATCACCAGTGAAAGTTGACAATTCTCTAGAGGGGAGAGAAGTCTGTTTTTGGTGCTAAATAATCAAATCTGCAAGCTCATTTTGAGTATTCGGTGCATTTGGTTGTGCAAGTTGAAAGCTAGGTGGGGGAATGGGTTGTTTCATTCTGCGACTCCTAATTGTGGGGCAACTGACATTAATTGTTGCCACCACAAGTCGAGATTAGAGTCTTCAAGCCTTGTTCAATCATTGTTTCAGCATTTAATTATTTGGGCATACGCTGCGCGATTTAAACAGCTTCCACTCTAGTTATTTTTTACAGTCACTTTCGCGTTCTGTATTCAGAATTTGAAGTGCATTTGTCTAGAACATATAACTGATCACCTTTGTAATGTTCAGTTTTAGGCCATCCTTTGTTCTCGTTTTTAACAGGAAAACTTCCAAAGCATCCGAAGCGCTTCAGGATATAAACTTTTACTCACGGACCGGAGACTTGTAGGATACATCCAATAATCCTTCCAATGCTTTGTCCTTGTCACAAAGTTTCAAAGCCGACAGTCCATAGTCCATGAAAAGTTCCAAAAGTTTAATCCACGGGAGTTTTTTGACTTAATGTTGCGGTCTCCGACGCAGTTCATAATTAGCATGGAGCCGCTATGACAGGAACAGTCAGTGATGTTCATGACGCGCGGGTTACTTTCTTTCCTTAAACGTTTATTTGCTTTTAGATACTTTACATTTCTCTTTACCACGGTCAAAAAACTGTGTCCCCTTCCTACTCTTGACAGAATCCCAAAACTGAATCCCAAAACACCTGTGTGATCACCTGGTATACGTAAGGTGAGAGGAGGTGGGGCTACATAGCAACTAACGTGAATCTGTGAATCTGTGCCCATTATTGCCCAAGCACCCCGTGACACAGATTGACTAGATCAGGATAATTCATTCTAATATCATAGGAAGCTTTTCTTAACTTATCATTATGACTATAATCATACTAACAAAAGAAACAACAAAAATAGCAAAAATGGCTCCAACA